TAAAGACTAACAAAATCTGTGGTAAGGGATGAGCTTTCGTGAGTCACTGCTCATGTCTTCAGATCTCACGTCTTCAAATCTCTGAAGAAGTGAGCCGTGACTCACGAAAGCGCCTCCCCTGCCACAGATTTTGTTAGTCTTTAAGGTGCTACCGGACTCTTGCTCTTTTCTACTGCAACAGACAGACTGACACGGCTACTCATCTTGATCTGTCAGGATATAGTATTGCAGAACAGTCAAGGGAGTAAATGGTCCATCCTGAGTGGGTGTTATCTACTCCCCACCATTGACTTAGCATAGTAGGAAGAATTGAAATAGCGTACACAAACCCACAAGGGGGGGCAGTTTACTTTCTGTAATGAGCTCATCTGGCACAGACCCTATTGAGTCCAGGTGCGATCATACCGAATCTTCGTATGAATTTCAGCTCAGCAGCTTCTTGCCCTAACCCTAACCCTTTGACACTTTGGTGCTGAAGGGTTTCATCATCGAAGGAAAGGGCCAGCTGGTGGCATGGGGTGTGTGCATGTGGCTGGCTGCTGTGGGCATGGAGCTATGGAACTCCAACCCACTCTGAGTATGCTCTTCCTTCAAAGATCACCCTCAACCTGGTTTTGGAAAGGCCACAGCAGAAGCACCAGGTAAAAACAAACACACGCTGAAGTCTCAGACTCAGGGCAAAGCGAAACCCTTGTGTGAAAGGCGCCTAAGTCTACTGAATGTCAACAAATAAGGAAACCAAAATATGAAGGGCTATTGTTCGGCTGATGGTGTAATCTATTGGTAACAGGGATAGACAATAGGCCGCATCCACTAAGCCAATTATGAATGTAAGCCTATCCAGTATCCATCTATTTTATATTGATACTGGGTATGTTGTTATGAGTTCATGTGTCTTCTGTAATTATTTGTTTTATAATAGGTTAATAAAATTTATTTTTTTAAAAAAAGTCTACTGAATGTCCTGGGAGATTGAAATTCTCCCTCCACTGGTTTCGGAGTACTTCCACTTTTTAAAAATATCTAACATTTATTATCTTGCAAAAAGGTTGCCCAGTTTGGCTGGTGTAAAGAAGGAGGGTTCTGACCTGGACAGCTTAGGCTGGCTCGATCTCATCAGATCTTGGAAGCTAAGCAGCGTTGGCCCCAGCTAATATTTGGATGGGAGATTTCCAAGGAATACCAGGGTCATGACGCAGAGGCAGGCAAAGGCAAACCACCTCCAAATTTGTACCATGGAGGAAGGGTTTGTGGCCAAAATGTGTTTGGTTTTAATCAGGGCTCTTTTTGTAGAAAAAGCCCAGCAGGAACTCATTAGCATAATAGGCCACACCCAACAGCAGAAACTCATTAGCATATTAGGCCACAACCCTGACAGCACAGCTCATTAGCAAATTAGGCCGCATCCCCATGTTACCAGAAGTGTGGTCATCCAGCCACACCCACCTTTTGCTTCTAATTCTGTTTACCTTCTTTGTTGTCAAAGCCCAGGGCCTTTTTTTGTAGCAGGAACTCCTTTGCATGTTAGGCCACACACCCCTGATGTAGCCAATCCTAATGAGTTTCTGATGTTGGGTGTGGCCTATTATGCTAATGAGTTCCTGCTAGGCGTGGCCAACTTGAGAGCCAGCCGGAACTCCGTTCCTGCCCAAAAATAGCCCTGGTTTTAATGGATTTTTTTTAATCACTCCTTATTTGTAATGCATTAAAGCTTTGTGGCCCTGACCAGAATAGCCCCAGCTAGCCCAGTCTTCTCAGAACTTGGAAGCAAAGGAGGGTCGGCCCTGACAAGTCGTTGGAGGGGAGACCTCCACGGAATGCCAGGGTCGTGACACGGAGGCCGGCCATGGCAGACCACCTCTGAACGTCTCTTGCCTCCAAAACCCCCTGGGGTCGCCATACGTCAGCTGCGACTGGACGGCACAAAAACAACAACTAAAAAGGAGATACATGCAGGTGGATTTGTTTTTATTTGTGCTGTCCTGGGACTCTGGGCCACTAACCCTTCTGCTCTTTGTAACTTGGATGGATGGTTCCTATGTGTTTTCTGTGTCTGCCAACTGAATGTAACACTTCACGCATTCGAAGGCGTGGACTCTGGCACGTGGAAGCTCATACCACTCTTTGAAGTGCCACAAGATTCTTGGGCTCAGCCAGCAGGCAAACATAACTCGATTCTCAAATTTAGCGGTTATTTTGCCTTAAGCTTCAATTTAAAAACTCTCACCACAGAAAGTATTTCAGTCCTTGTGTTGATCACAATGTCTATTCCAGTCAAGAACAAAATGGAGACCGTTCTTTCCTCCCACTAGAATTGGGGGAGGGAAACCTGTTCCTGCTATGAGTCATGTCATAAGTTTGCCCATTTCTGCCCTCTCTGGATCTTTCATTCACCTTTTTAATTTGTGTGTGGGAAGGAGGGGGGGGGAAAGGGTGACCATTTGGGCAGTGCCAAGCCCTTTAAAGGCAATTTAACTTATCTGTTTCCCCTAGATCGCCAAACTGAAGCAGCAGCTGCAGCGAACAAAGCTGAGCACCAGGAATGGCAAAGAGAAGGAACAGAGCTCCCCTGTCCAGGGGGATCATACGGTGCTCCCAACGGTCAAGGTACGTCCGGCCTTGAGCCTCCAAACCACCAAAGAGGACTTAGCAACGGCAGACTCGAATGCTTCCTGTCGGCTAACTACCTTCACCAGTGCCAAGTCAAATTTCCTCTCCCAAGAAGGGTCCTCAATATCTTGAGGAGATACCAGTCTGTTGTGAGGAGGGGGGGGTCTTAGCTCAGTGGCAGAGCACACAGTTGGCTTGTAGAAGATCTCAGGTTCAACCCCTAGCAAGAAAGAGAGGGGAAGAAAAAACTTCAGCCCAGAAAAACCAGGTAACCAAGAAAGTTGACAAAAACTCTAATAACAGAATAAGTACTAGAGAAGAAGAGGAGGAGGAGATTGGATTTATACCCCACCCTTCACTACCCAAAGGAGTCTCAGAGCAGCTTACAAACTCCTTTCCCCTCTTCTCCCCACAACAGACACACTGGGAGGTAGGTGGGGCTGAGAGAGCTCTGAAAGAAACTGTTCTTTTTCAAGAACAGCTGTGCCAGAACTATGGCTTGCCCAAGGTCATCCAGCAGCTGCGAGTGGAGGAGTGCGGAATCAAACCCGGTTCTCCCAGATTAGGACCATCGAAAGATAATTTTTCAGATTGTTGGTGTTTGTGGCCCAACGATCTCTGTAAGCAAGGTTAAAACGAATCGTGGCTCTGTGGTGTGCGCACCCACCTTCAGGAAGCAAAATACGTTGTGTTTGGTTAGAATGGAATATTTTATCACTGGTTGTTTATAACGCATTGGTATTTATTCTGTTATTAGGCTTTGTGTCAGCTTTCTTGGTTACCTCAATCCCTTGCATCGCCAATTACAAGATGGCCACGCTTGGCTCAATGGAAAAATTGGTCAGAGTCACATGGTGGCCCATTCAGTGTATCCCTCCAGGGGTCTTTTTGTAGAAAAAG